CCCGTTCCTTTCTCAGGCCATTGATCCTTGATGGGAATGATGGCCTGGGAACATTCACACCACCAGGATGGCTAATGGACCGTGAGACCATTTCCAGACGTAACGAGAATGGCAGGATTTCTAACATGAGCCTTCACAGAAAGATGCTTCTTCCCCTCAGGCCTGGCAAGTTCTAGAAGCTTGCATCAGAATTAAGAGTCTGGGCGCTGTCCCTGACTTTTTTTTTTTTGCTCAGGGCTGGTGGCACTCCACTCACTGGGGCCGCAGCTCTGCCTCTGGCTTTTGGTGGTTAAGGAGATAGACAGCGTGCCATGGACTTGCCTCTTGAGTAGCTGGGATTACAGGCGTGAGACACTGGATCTGGCCTTGGGTTTGCCTTTGTGAGGAACTTCTAAGCTGCCTTCTACCTGGCTCAGATCAGGTGGGCTCCCGCAGCCCTGGATCAGAGGCAGGCATGGGGCGCGGGCTGCAGGCCGGGAGTCCCCCAGACCGAGTGAGCGGTGAGGGCGGGAGGGGAAGATGGTGAGCGAGGTCAGAAGCAGGGCGGCGCGCCGAGGAGGTCTGGCTCTTCCAGAGCATCTGTTTCCACTCCCAGCGCGAGCTGTGGTGGGGCAGAACGGTGGCTCTCCGCCCTGGTCCCCACCCACCTTCTCAATCAGGGCAGGAGCCCCCAGAGTCTCCCAGAGGCCTGCCTCTGTGCTCGAACCCAGGGCCCCTCCTCCAGTAGGCCCAGCCGGCTCCGCTGGGAGCTGTTGAAGAGCCCGGAAGGAGGCTGAGTTTCTCCTATGATCCAAAGGAAAAAAACAATTCAGTCCAAGTCGGGTTCTATTTGTCTGTTGCTTTTTAAAATCGGCGTTCTCCTCAAGACCCCTGTTGGCGTGGTTTTGATAAATGGAGGGGCCGGCACACCAGCCGCCTGGACCGGTGGAACAGTGGCTCTTTTTTGGATGCTGCTTCATTCAGCTGCTCAGGCGCGGCCCACCAGGGCCAGCCTGCCTGCCTTCTCCCAGCCCTCACTCACGCCCGTCCAGCTGAGCGTCTGGGGCCTCCTCGGTTGTGGCCAACTGTGTCACGAGGTACAAAGCCCCACCCCCACCACACACATGCTCCTCCAGGCCCGAGGTCAGGATCACTTTCTGCCCTGTCCAGCCGCAGCCACTCCCCCTTGTCTGCAAGATGATCAGGTGAGCACTTACTCACTCGCCTGACAGGGTGAGGGCAGCTCTTCTGCAGCCACTGGATGCAAACATGAACCTCAGTTCCCTTATCTGTAAAATGGGGGTACTGATGACACTCACTTGGTAGAGCTGTGGATTAAATAAGCAATTATTTTCATAAGCCCTCTAAACCATTCATGACCTCGCATTGAAAAGTGCCATCGCAGTGTCAATTAAAGCTATTGGTGAATAGAACAAGGGTCTGAATGACTGAAGGGATGAGAGAAAAAATGATTGAACGGATGAATAAGAGTAGATGGATGAATTAAATGAACCCTGCTTCTCCTTATGCCAGTGTGTAAGTCATTCACACTTTAGTATGAAGTGTGAACTCATGCTCGCTGACCCAGTCACAGTTACTGGGAACTGAGCTGTCCCCTCTAACTCGTCACATTCTGAGAACAGCCCTGGGCAGGCAGCTCTGGCTACCAGACACAGCAGGCCCCGGGGCGGCCATGAAAAGTACTGTCAGGGCCCTGCAGGGAGCTGGGGTCAGGTTCAGGCTGCCAGGGCTCACATACTCTGGAAAGCTGGGAGCATTGGCCTCTGGGGGTTGGCAGGAGCCGGGACAAGTTCCCGAGCTCCCGATGGGAGCCAGGCCTCGCTGGGAGGAGGGCCAGCCGGAGCCTCTGCGCTGTCCGGCTGGGCGCCGCCCCGTGGCTGATCAAAGGCAGCTTGGTCCGGGCTTTGCCCCGTCCTCTCGGGGTGCTGGCCTCCACCTCCAGGGCTGGAGGGCCTTTCTGGCAAGTTAACCTCCCAGGGAATTAACTTCCGGGTCACCTTGGTTCCTCTGGTCTAAATGCCAGAAAGGCTCCGCCGTCCTGATCCGTCAGAGCGCGGAGGAGCGCCTGGCCCCCGGAGTCTGGACTTTAGAACATGGATGTAGCCCTGGCACGGTCGAGCTTCCTCCACAGAGCACTGCGGTCCCGCCCCGGGGCCCTTCCCCCCAGGCCCGGGTCCCGAGCTCCTGTGTGCTCAGGTGTCCCTTCTTCTGTGGGCCACCGGGAAGGAGACAGTGTAGAGGAACGCATGTGACTCTGTTGGACAGAAGAGCCTTTGGGAGTGAGGGCAAAGGGCAAAGGGCAAAGGCCAGGCCCCTTGATGGTTAGCAGAGGCCGCATCCAGCGGAGTGTCACTCTCTGGGCAGAACGGGGCCACCCAGGGAGACACAGGAAGGGAAGGCTGTGTGTGAGGGGGGGGGAGGGCGGCTTGGCAGGCCGGAGGGGGAGGGGCAGGCCACCAGGCAGGAAGTTTCCCGAGGGAACAAGGGAACGGGCTGGCTAGGGCTGGGGGGGGAGGGGGTGTTAGAAGGGTTAGAAGGGGAGCCCGGGACCCCCCCACACACAGATGCACAGTGCTTCCCCGTCCAGCATCCTCACACTGTCAGCCCCACAGTTTGTATCCCAAACCATTTGAACAGATAGGGAAACTGAGGCATGGGCTGGGCGTGTCCTTCCCACCCTTCTACAGCAGCTGCCTGAGTGGGAGGGAGGAAGGGAGGGAAGGAGGGAAGGAGGGAGGGCGGGAGGGAGGGGGTTGATGGAGTCCCAGCAGCTAATGAAGAAGAGACCAGGGCTCCACAAAGCAATGCAGGAATCCTCTAGAAGCTAGGCTGCGGAGGGCGCGGGCAGGGCTGGGTTTCGGTGAGTCCAGGCGTGCTGGCATCCGCGGGAGCGGCCTGCTCGCGGCTCGTTCACGGCTGCTGTGGAGCCGCGTTGAACTGGGCGTGGGGCGGGCCGGGGGCTCGGGCTTCCGCGCGATAGCCAGCCGGTACCGGAGATAGCAGCTCCCCTCTGGAGACAGAGGTCTCCACATCTGTGAACAAGAGTGGAGACGCTGCTCCCGTGCGTGAGGGCCCCAATGGAGCCTCGTTGTTTTCTGGGCTGTGGACGGAACTTAGAGCCTCATGGGCAGGCGCTCTACCACTTGAGCCACACCTCCAGGCCCCCTTTGTTTGCTCTGGTTATTTTTCAGACAGGTTCTCATAGGTTTTTCCCCCAGGCTGGCCTTGGACTACAGTAGCTCTATCTAGTTGGATCTCCTCCCCTCCGGAGTTGCTGGAATTACAGGTGTGTGCTACTGCGCCCCACAGTAGAGGCAGTGTACCGCCCTCAGCCCCAGCGGATGCCCCCAGTACTGTGTGGACCGGGGTGGTGATTGGGCGGGGATAGGGGTGGTCCTCAGGCCCCAGCAGAACCAGGGTCCAGGGCAGCCACCCCCAGAGTTACGCAGGGAGCATCCTCCCGAGCTGCCAGGGCTGGGAGCTGGACCAAGGAGTTGCCCCTCCCTTCCCGCTGGCTGAGCGGCGCTGTCTGAGCAGAGGAGAGTGGATGGGGACAGGGCCCCTCCCGGCCACGTCGCCAGCCGCCCAGTGCCCCCCCCCCGCCCTTCCAAAAATAACCTGGCCGGCCAGCGGCCCCTGCGGCGGAGGGGCGGGGTGGGTACTGGGAGGGACCCAGGATCCCCGGGGACCCGGGCCAGGCCGAGGGGAACTCAGAGCCGGGCAAGTTACACACTTTGGCCCCACCCAGCCCGAGGGTCCCTCCCCTGCCCTCCCCTCCACCTCTGCTCCTCCCCAGAGCATCGCAGGGTCGCTGGCCCCAGAGGAAATCAGTGCCTTCTGACTCCGGGATGGGCCGAGGCGGGAGGAGGACGGGGCTCCGGGCTCTGGCCTTCCTGCTGCTGCTTCTCCAAGTCGCCGCTGCCAAGAATATCTGGAAGCGGGCGCTGCACCCCCGGCTGGCTGAGAGGTCCCGCGTGAGTGCTGGGCACGGGGCGGGGAGGGGCGGAGGGGGGCGGAGGGGGCCCTGACGGTCAAGGCTGGCCTCTCCCTCCAGCGTCCCCAGGTGGGCCGGGGCCGGGGTCTCCTGTCCCAGCCAGTCAGGGTGGGGGATGGCAGGTGAACGCCAGCTGTCCCTGGAGCCCTGGGCTCTGGCCAGGCTGCCGGCCGAAGGTGTGGAGGACTCAGAGTTACCCTGGTGTGCATTCGCGTGGGGATGGGTCCGTCCTGTCACTATTTACCAGAAGCTGCTGGAGTGTGTGTGTAGGGGGGGGTCCCGAGGGATGGAGACACCAGCTCCCACCCTGAAAGGTGCGACAAGGAGTAGACAGGGCAAAGGACAGCAGGACTGACAGCCTGAGCTGGCGGTGGCAGGAGCGAGGAGCAGCACCTGGAGCAAGGGGCTGGGTTCCAGTCTAGACTCTGCCCCTCCCTGCTGTGTGACTCAAGGTGTTGATTGATCTCTCTGGGCACCAACAATCTCATTCAGAAAAGGCAGCCGCATCCATCCCTACAGACCCATTCCGACTGCCATTGTTTGGCAGGCACGGACGGCCCTGGGCTGTGGGTACGGGGGCCTGGGAGAGCAGGTCTCCATTCGGGGAATTCACAGAGAATAGGTAAGCAGAGACCTGGACTAGGTAAGAGAGGCCTGTTCCCAGGGTGACCCCTCCTCGCCCTTCTCTCGGCCAGGTGGATTTTGCTCATTTATTGTGACACTTAGGACCCCTGGGCTCCATACCTGCCTCCATTACAAATTAATGCCTGCGTGTTTGCAATTAATAATCTGTCTAGTTTGGCTCCGAGAGTGTTGGGAGGGGAGGCCTTCAGAGGTGATGGATCCTGACGGCTCTGACTGACTTCATGAATGGCTCCATCCTCTGACGGCTTCCTCTCTGAATGGGACAGACAAGGCGGGGCGGGGGGGGGGGGATGGAGGGAGCTTGGGGCAGAGCCACCGGAGGAAGTAACGCCTGGTGGTGTCCTTGATGGGCACATCTTGTCCCCGCCCCTTCCTCTCTGCTTCCTGGCCACCGTGAGGTGAGCAGCTTACCACACTTCCACCCTGCGTCCACCGCCCTCTGCAGGGAGGTTCTCTAACGTCATCATCTTCAGCTGTCTCCGCGTCCCTTGTCCCCATGCTAGGTCGTTGTAGCAGCTCCCCCATGCCAACCCCCCGGTCACATCCTCGAGGGCCCTTTTTCCAAACATCCTGCAAAGGTTCCCTTAGCTGCTCTTTCCTAACAGCTGGCGTTTGCTGTGTACTATGTGCCTGAATTCTGAACGCGCCATTAATGACTGAGTGAGGTTTTCCAGGAAAACCTCTCAGAGCATGATCACAGGCATGGAAGGCTCTGCAGGGCTCAGGAGTGCTGGCTGAGCTTGCAGCCTAGGAGATTCTGGTCTTCCAAGGGCCTCTCTGAGAAACTTCCCTCTGCCCTGCTTCCAGTGCCCAGTTCTGGGGTCCAGGACGTCAGGAAATGGCATTTGTCAGGACGCTGAGCTCCCCGTGTTCCAGGGAGGCTTTTATTTTTAGATCTCTGACGTCTGAAATCTAGAGGAAGAGCAAATAATACTTGGAGGAAAGTTGGCTTCTTCCTCCACCCACCAAGCCCATCCCAGGGTACGTTTTTATTAGCGTGGCCAGGCCGTTAAGCCACAGGGACATTCTAAAGAAGGGCAGAGCCCTTGCGTGAGCACCATGAGCAGGGGGAAGGGGGTGGACGCAGGGGAAGGGGGGGGAGCTGCTCTGCGGGCTAGATGCTTTTCCCCTAAATGGAAATGAACTCACACCACACTTTTCCCCAATCATAAAAATAATGATGTTCACTGCAAAATAAATAAATAAATAAATCAGGCAATACAGAAAGTTGTACATAAATCAAAATGATCTAAAGTCTTCCTAAAAGACATGGCCTGTGGATATTTTGTGGTGTGGTGTCTAGACGGTTTCATGAAGCAGTTAGACACAGCATTTTTTTTTTTGGCATAGTGTTATTTTATTCATACTGTTTACATTTTAAAAAATTGAGATGCAATTCATAGGACATAAAACTCACCATTTCAAATAAACAGTACAGGGGCATTTAGTATATCTGTACTGTGGTTCAACCCCCACCTCTCTATCCCCCGCAGACTTGTACCCCCTGGGCAGCCACCCCACCCTCTCCTCCCCAGCCCTGTCTGTGGGTTTTCCCATTCTGGGTGTGTCCTGTCTGCTTATTTACACCCCACACTTGTATATGATAGCATCCAGCAGGAATGTGAACATAGATGTGTCCTGTGCCTCGGTTTCCCTACCAGTGAAGTGGGCTAATAACAGGACGCAGAGGCGTGAGAGTCTTCCATTCCGAGTGAGGATTTAGCAAACCCCGCCTGTCTGGCCACCACGGTGACTCTACGGCCCAGGTTCTGAGCCCATGGTGTCCCCAAGTAGGGAGCCCACACCCGGCCCGTTTTCCTCATGATACAGCCAGGACTGGGCTGGCCCATGCAGCCCCAGAGAGCAGTGCTTGGGCAGGGGCCTGTGCCTGGGCTGCTTCCACGGCCCCTTCCTCCTAGAAACTTGGCCAGGGGTGCGCTGGTCCCAGCCAGCCCCGCTTTCCCTTGCTGCCTGTGCGCGTCTTGCAGGGGCCTGTGGGCTCTGGCAGCGTGGAGCTCCGGCGGCTGGGACCAGGCCTGCTCGGTTCTGGCATCCACCACGGAGCCACGGAGATGCAAACTCTCAGCCCGTCAGCGTCCTGCAAGCAAAGCAGGACAACACTCGTGACAGCATAGCATTAGACAACGCGAGAGGTGTGCAGCATCAGACGCCCCTGGTCCGCCCGCCAACCACGCGGGGCCGCTGGTCCCCCTCCCCTGCCAGCCGCTGGGTCAGGCGGCCATAGGTCGGCTAGTAGATAGGGCCACCAAGGAGGCCTGACAGCCACTGTTGCCGATCACTACCTTCCTCCTCTTCCTCCTCCATCCTCACAGCTCTCTCTTCATTGCAGTGGATAACCCAGGAACTAGTTCCTAGTGGGCAATTGGTGTGCTGGTGCTCAGGGGTGGGGAGGGCGCGGCAGTCACCTCTGGATGGTTCTCTGGGAACTCTGGAAAAGGTCCTTTGTTCAGAGCCGTCCCGAGGGCTGCCTTGCATGGCACAGAACATTCTGAACCCGAAGCCCTTCCGAGTGAGCCTGGGGCCCTGCTGTCTGGCGGCTGCGCTGGACCTCGGGCACTTGTCCCCATTGTTCTGTCCAAATTCTGACAGAAGGCATACAACTAAAATTGATCTCTGGGCGGACCCCTGCTGGGCTCATCATTAACCGAGTTATGGGGCCAGGGCCGGTGGGAGGGAGGTGAGAACGCGGCTCCCCCCCACTCTGTACCTCCCCCGGGGCCCCCTACCCCATCCATGAGGCCCGTTCTGAGGCAGGCTAGACAGGCAGGTAGCTGGCCCCTCTGGCCTGGCCTGTGGGCGGGGCCTCTGACGTGGGCGGGGCCGCTGTCAAGGTGGATCAGGATTAAAACCTGAGGTTCCACCGGTGAGGCCATTAGTCCAATTGAGTTCATTCTGCAGAAGAGGGAGGTGACACTAATGGCTGGAACTGTGCCCGGCGTGCGGCTTGGAAGTGGCTGGCGGGAGCTGGGGAGGTGGCTCCTTTCCCCGTCCTCTTCCATGTTCTTCTTTTACCAAATTGTGTTTTATTTTTTGGTGCTGGTCCTGGGGCTTGAACTCAGTGCCTGGGCATCATCCCTGAGATGCTTTTGCTCAAGATTAGCTGTTCTACCACCTGAGCCGCAGTGCCACTTCCGGCCATCTGCTTCTAAATGTCAGCATAGCGTTCGATTCTGTTTGTCCTACATCGAATGGCCCATGTGTGTAGTGAAGAGATGGCGGGGCTCCCCAGGCTGCTCCCCGGAAGCCAGCCTGGGCGGTGCCTGTTCTAGGTGATTAGGACACCCCCGCCCCCCCGCAGGATGTGACCAGCAGTGCACACTCACAGGCTGTGCAGGAAGGACCTGGGTGACCACCATATCCCTGGGGAGGCCTGAAAGTCTCTGCTCTGCGCTCCCCTACGCCCACCCCAGCCAATCCACGCGCAGGATGTGTCAGCCTGTGGCCGAAGGGATGTCTGGCCAGCAGGACAGAGGTGGCATGTACCTCGGACAGCAGACAGGCTTCTATCCTGGTTAGACACCATCCTGGGCAATGTGTGTGTGTTCACATGTGCACCACGGTCACACAGCCCCAAGAGGGTGGTGTGATCAGCCTCTGGGGACTCCAGGGAGAACCCACGGTCACAGAGAAGGTGACTGGAAGAGCTGGATTTGAACCTCCATTAAGAGCAGAGCCTGGTGCTCACCCACCAGCTGCCCGGTGTCGATGGCTCCCCGCACTGCTGCGGTCAGCGGGAGAACAGGCAGGCCCGCAGCACAGCGAGCGTCTAGGTGGACGTGCGGTCTGCGGGCACCTCCCCGAGGAGGGGCTCTGAGGCGGGCACGGACAGAGGGGGCCGTCATGGGGAGAGGGAGGAGGGCGCTGCTCCCAGCCGGGACAGCGAGTGGACTGCAGGCTCAGGAGGGGAGAGGGCGGCACCAGGCGACCAGGAAGGCCGGGACAGGAGATAAGGTCAGGGTTGGCACAGCCCTTCAAGGTTAGACTCAGGAGTCTGTCCTAAGACTAATGGGAAGGACACCGACAAGGGCTCAGAGCACGGGAGAGAACCGACCCGGGGGTATTGCAGAAAGCATCTCTGAGCTGCACTTTGGAGAATGCTCAGGGTCGGAGGCAGGGAGGTCCAGGAGAGGCTGGGGAGAAGCCGGGGAAGGCCGGGGAGGCAGGGTGGCTGTAGACTCAGGCTCGGGGAAGCAACCCTTCACACACACGGATGGAATGTACCAGCAGAGTGCCAGGTACCCCGCTTCCCGGTAAAACCATCACAAAGAACCATACACAGAGAGGCTGAAACCAACGGGAATGCTAGCTCACAGCTCTGGGGCCTCAAGCTCAGCACGCGCCTCCGAGGTGGAGAACTGGGCATTGCCTGGTCGCCTTGCCCCTGGGCACCCATTGGACGGACGCATCCGTGCTGCCTTCAAGCATTGAAAGCCAAGAGGAGTTCAGCCTGTCCTCCTGGGGCCTCCCCGTCCCCTACCAGGGTTGCATCTGTGAGATGTGCCTACGCTGTCTTGGGGATTTTCTCGTTCTAGGTGTGACTGGTAGGTTCTCAGTGCTGTATGTAGAGAGATCTACTTGTTGTGGACATTTGTGCAGCAGCCTCCGGACTAGCCGTCATGTTTGGGGCAGAGATGATAGCATCTTTTTTATCATCTTTAATTATTAATTCATATCAGGGGGAGAGACTTGAACTCAGGGCCTCACTGGACAGCGTCTTTTAACCCACCCTCCAAGCCCGGTTCTGTGGGGCTCACGACTTTCCCCACAGGCCCGAAGAGAGTGACCGCTGGCCTACAGGGCACAGCTGGACGCAGCCTGGCTGCCCTGACCCTCAGCTCTCCTGTCCCCCCACAGGCCGAGGAGGGCACCCCCGGCCCCCGGCAGCCACGCGCTGACCGCTGCCCCCCACCCCCCCGGACGCTGCCCCCGGGAGCCTGCCAGGCTGCCCGCTGCCAGGCCGACTCCGAGTGCCCGCGCCACCGGCGCTGCTGCTACAATGGCTGCGCCTACGCCTGCCTGGAGGCGGTGCCACCCCCGCCAGGTAGGTGGGGCCAGGGGCGGGGCAGGGGCGGGGCCGGGGGCTGGGGGCGGGGACGGGGCTGGGCTGGGGCAGGGGGGAGGCCCTGGGGGCACAGAGGGACTGCACTGGACCAGACAGTCCTGTCCACAGGGCAGCCTCTCCTGTTTCTCCCCTGCGGTGGCTGGCCTGGAGACTGCTCTCTGTGCACTTACGAGGCACTGGGTAATGGTGAAAGAATGAATGCATTCATTCGTTCTCTGGTCAGCGGGAAGGGCTCTCCGACCGCTCCTTAGAAACCATGATGCTGCCCAGCACCAGGAAGTGGGTGTCAGAGGACAGTTGGAGCATGAGCCTTAGCCACACCCTCGGCCGCTGCTCCCCCGGGGGTGCAGTGTGCTGGGAGCCCCCAACCTGACACAGGCCTCCTGTCTCAGTGCTAGACTGGCTGGTGCAGCCCAAACCCCGCTGGCTTGGCGGCAACGGCTGGTTGCTGGACGGCCCTGAGGAGGCTCTGCAAGGTACAGGGAGGGTGGGGGAGGGGGAGGGGGAGGGGGAGGGGCGCCCACCACAGCCCCGCCCCGCCCACTGCCCCCTCCCAGGCTTCCAGCCATGTCCTCTGTCTCCTGGCCGCCCCACCCCAGCTCAGAGGGCCGGCCTTCCGCGGGGGCGAGGCCTGGAGGAGGGAGGGGGCACTTTTCTGGCCCCTAATATCATAATACGGGGTTCACTGCTTCTTGATGAGAAGGCCTGCCAGGGTGGAGAGCCTGGGCCGGGACCGTGGGAGTGACCGCGCACCGCACGTGCGTGGCTGGACCGGTGTGCGACTGTGCTCACGGTGCAGCTGGCCACAGCTGCTCTTGTGGCTATGGCTGATGCATCGTGTGGGGGGGCACATGAGTGTGTGTGTGGGCACATGAGTGTGTGTGTGTACACGTGTGTGTGATGTGTGCTGTGACACAGGCGTGGCCTGGAGTCGGGGTGGGTGCCGGGATGGGGGTCAGGGGCGGGGCTGCCCTGTGACCCCGCGCCCCCGACCCTCGCCAGCAGAGGCATGCAGCACCACTGAGGACGGCGCCGAGCCCCTGCTCTGTCCCTCGGGCTACGAGTGCCACATCCTGAGCCCCGGAGACGTGGCCGAGGGCATCCCCAATCGTGGCCAGTGCGTCAGGCAGCGTGGGCAGGCGGGTGAGTGCGCCCCAAGCCCTGCCTCCGGGGTAACTGTGGGAGCCCCGAGTCCTTCTGGTCCTGGCCCATGGGCTATCACAGCCACCCCAGGCCTGACCCAGGACTGTGCCTCCTTGGACACCCTGCCCTCTGCTGGGTGCCAAGGCTCCTGGCTGGCAGACCGAAGGTGACTCTCTGCTCTGTGCCACCTACATGGGTGACTTTCAGGTCCATTTCCTTAGCTTTCAGAGCCTCAGTTTCCTGCTCTGTCCAGGGCCACTGAACACTGCCAGAGATAGACTGAAATCATGCAGGCAAAGCCCTCCAAGTAGGGCAAGCCAACGACCGGTGGTCAGCAAACACTGGCTGCCTTCTATCCATCCCTGCCCCTGCCTTACCATGCACAGAACTCGAATTGTTCAAGAATCCATAGGCTCCTGGGGTCTGAGCCAGGACGTGGTTTGCCGTTGTCATCCTTAGTGTTTGTCTTTGGAAGTGAAGGGAACAAACAGATGGCAGATGGCGTGCGCGCTCAGGTCTGCAAAACTTCCCCAGCGGGGAAGATGCAGAACGGCGCCTCCACACAGCGCTAGACCCACAGCGCCTCCTGCCGGCCGTGAGGGTCAGGAACTTCAGAAAGATCGCCATTCGCATCATCAAAAGTGAGCTCCACCAGAGCTCCATCAGACTCCAGGCCGCCTCCCAGGGCCCTGTCCTTGCCTCTGGGTCTCTTGGTCTTAACAGAGGCCCAGAGCTTTGTGGCTCTCTGTCAGAACTGATGATAATCGCTCCAGTGGTTAATTTTAGTACACCGTGATATACCAGAACTGCTTCGAACATTTATTCCTCTACGACCTATCCAGAAAGGCCTGGGCATAAACTCACAGGTCCATTGTGACGTGTAGCAGCAGGGTTGCGTTTCAGTAAACCGACACAAGTTGAAACTGTCTTAGGTCAAAACACACCTAACACACAGCACCTCCGGGCCCAGCCATGCAGCTCACGGCGGGCACCACTTCTGATGGGGACTGAGGCTCACTGCGGCCACCTGGCCGCCAGAGGCAGGCTGGCAGCCCTCCCCCGGAAAATTCCAATGTCAAAACGCCCCCTGCACTTTCTGTGCAGGTGTATTCGTGTCAGTACAAAGTGGGGGGTGAGTGGAGCCATCCTGGGTCGGGGAGGGTCTGGGGTCACATGCTGAGATCATTGTCACCACAGACAAGAGCACGCACGATGAGGTTTCAGTCCTGGTTTCTCATCTGAACTTTGGGAAAGCACCATGAGCTATAACCTTTAGTCGTTTCCTTGGTGCTGGCCACAGACCAGGACACTGACCGGCTGGCTGACCGCCTCACGGCCCCACAAGTTTTATCTTCTTGTGTGTTTTCCAGATGGGCGGCTCCTGAGGCACAGATTTTACAAAGAATATCCAGGTAAGGGAAAAATAAAACCAAATATTCTTTACAGAGGTCACAAGAAAGGGAAGTAATCATTACTTAGGTGGAGAAGGAAAAAATAATGATAAATAAGACAGGCGCCGGTGGCTCACTCCTGTCATCCTAGCTACCCAGGAGGCTGAGATCCGAGGATCGTGGTTCAAAGCCAGCCCGTGTAGGAATGTCCATCTCCAATTAACCACCAGAAAACTGGAAGTGGCTTTTATCTCCAATAAACTATTCAGAAAAAAAAAGTGCTGGAAGTGGAGCTGTGGTTCAAGTGGTAGAGCACTAGCCCTGAGCAAAAGAGCTCAGTAACAGTGCCCAGGCCCTGAGTTCAGGCCCTGAATTCAAGCCTTGTGACAAATAAATGAATAAAGGGGCAGGGCAGGTGTGAGCCCGAGGGAGTTAGAGCAAACAGGGCCCCGTGTGAGCGTCAGAGCCCGGGACAGGTATGCTTCTGCCTCTCCTGCTCCCAGGGGAGAAATTTGAAAAGGTAGTGGACCTATCTACGCCATCCTTCCTTCTGAGATTTGTCTGCTCATCGTCTATCTGCCCACCTGCTGCACATCTATTCCTCTATTCATCTACCCATCCATCTACTCGAGCATCCATCCACCCATCCATCTACTCGTGCATCCACCCATCCATCCACCCACCCATCCATCCACCCATCCATCCACCCATCCATCCATCCACCCATCCATCCACCCATCCATCCACCCATCCATCCACCCACCCATTCATCCACCCACTTATCCACCCACCTAGCCCTCCTGTCTTCTATCTAACCACCCAGCTGTTCATCCATCCATCTGCTCCTCCCTCCATTATCCCATTCACCCCTTCTCCTGTCCCTGCGCTCTCCATTCCACCCATCTGTCTCCTCTATTTTTCCACCTATTCAGTATATCTTTATCAAGAATTCACTGAAAGAGAGCGGTTAAGGAGTAACACCGGTGAGCATAATGTGACCAAAGCACATTATGTGTATGCTGTAAATATCGCATTGAAACTCCTTTGTACCATTAATTCATGCTAATATGAGATAGATTTAGTTATTTAATATATTTAATTATTGCCAGTCCTGGGGCTTGAACTCTGGGCCTGGGCACTGTCCCTGAGCTTCTTTGGCCCAAAGCTAGTGCTCTACCACTTGAGCCACAGCACCACTTCCTGGTTTTTTCTTTTTGCTTATATGGTGCTGAGGAATCGAACCCAGGGCCTCAGGCATGCAAGGCAAGCGCTCTACCACCCAACTTCCCATCCCTAAGATTTTTTTTTTTAAAGAATTCACTGCATGTATTCATCAAACATTAGCCCTCTCTCTGGTCTGGAGCTGGCACTGCCTCTGTAGAAATGACAAACCCAGTTCCTGCGCCAAGCAGCGCCCACCAACCAGGGACCGCCACCCTCAATGAAGACCAAGCGGTAGTGTCATGATAATGCCGCCTTGGCTCCTCCCATCCCGTACTGGGGACAGGGAGGACACGTTAGAGCAGATTGCCCAGACGGACTTCCCAAGGAGGGCACCGGACCTCTCAGCCTAAAGAATAAGCCATCCGGGCAGCGGCCCGGCTTGTGGGACAGCCCGAGGTGGCGACCAGCAGGATTGAGTGGCCCCGGGACACCGTGCCTGGGACAGCGGCTCGGGCCGGGTGTCGGGCCTTCACTTGGTTCTTTGAGCAGGACCTGTCACCCAGGCCCTGATGGCACCATGTTTGTGTTTCAGACGGTGACTCGAAGAATGTGGCGGAGCCCGGAAGGGGGCAGCAGTGACCCTTTCAACAAAGCAACGGCGGGTGTGTAAGGGGGAGGGGAAAGGGGCTCATGGCAGACACCGGCCTGCGGGGGGGGGGGGGGGACGAGAGCGGAGCTGGATCTGCTGGGAGAATCATACCCCCCCTCCCCCGGCCCAGCCCCTACACCCAGCGCATCTGTGTCTCTGGAGACTGATCTAAGACCAGGCTCGGCGGCAGCTCTCCCGGCCTTTGCCTGGAGGTCTCCAAGAATCAGCCCCGCGTGCCTCTGGCATTCCCAAGTCCCGTCTGCACACCCACATCCGTGACAGGCGTGGTACCAACCCCACACAGCTGCCCAGCAGTCGTCTGTGGATCCCCGTGTGTGCCAGGGATCTTTCTGGAGTTCCCACCCTGATAAGAGGCTGGCCAAGCCAGCAGGTAGACGGACAAGAAAATGACAGGTGTGGGACATGCTGTGTGTCACATGACCGGTGTCCCCTCCAGGGCTGGGAGCTGGGCTGCGCAAGGCAGCGGGGCCCTGGCGACACGGGCCGAGCTCTGAGGGTGAGCCGGTGCCCCCGGGGCTGCAGTCCCCAGGGGCGAATCTGGGCATGGGGGCCGCTGGGGGGGGACAGCGGTGCCCAGGTTCGGCTCTGGGCCGCGCTCCAGGTGGGACACTCATGCTGGGGTGTACAAAAGTCTACGGGTGGCTGCCACCAGGGGGTCCCCAAGAGCTGACAGCCCGCAGGACACATGAGAACCCCAGGGGCACAGTCTCCCCAGGGGAGAGAGAAGAAGGGGAAACAGCAGGTTTCAGCTTCCAGAATGTCAGGATTGAGCTCTCAAGAAACTGGGGCTGACCCAGGCTGTCCTCCAGTGTGGTGTGTATCTGACACATTGACACCCATGAACTTGGGCGCTGTCCCTCAGCTCTTCCGCTCAAGGTGAGCGCTCTACCACTTGAGCCACAGCACCACTTCCAGTTTATTGGAGATAGGAGTCTCACAGACTTTTCTGCCTGGGCTGGCTGTGAACCGAGATCCTCAGACCTCAGCCTCCTGAGTAGCTGGGATGACAGGCGTGAGCCACTGGTGCCCAGCCCCATGAACTTTCAGCGGTGGAGTCTGGGGTCACAGGCAGGGCATCGCAGACAACCTTGAGCTGCAGCCCAGGGTGGGTGCAGGAGCAGCAAAGCTGGCTTGGTATTCCTGCTCCGTCTCCCCATGTGACTGTAAGAGAGTGACTCCTGCCTCAGTTTCTTCATCTCTAAAATGGGCACCAGGGCGAGGCTAAGTTGAGAACTTCTCAGAAGTTCACCAGGAGCTACCAGTTTGGTCATGGGGAAACTGGGTCCAGGATGTAGGGGACCAAACAGCCGCATGACCCCTCGTCCCGGTGTCAACTCGTAGGTAACCCTGCTGCTCCGCTTCCTTCACAGCCCGTGTGCAAGACCACTTCTCTGCTCCCTGCCAAGCCCTGGGGACGATCAGAAAAACAGCGTGACGCGCAGTGCTGCCTCCAGCTCCCCAGGGCGCCCTCGAGCCCGCCCACCGCAGCCTCAGCGTGGCACCACCCCATGCGGCGCGTTGGTGGGGTGCCTGACCCACTCTGATTCTCCACCATGGACACTGGAGGCTGCAGCCCCCAAGCTACCTGGGAAGATGCCACCCGGGAGAGAATCCCCAAGCCCGTTCACTGTCTGGGTGATTTTTGTAGATTTCTTCCAAGTCTTACTCTGTTCTCCAAATAAAGTCACCCATGCGTAATGGTAGTGAGCCTGCCCTCTTTCGTGAGTCAGTTCTGCCCACTGGGTGACTTTCAGAACTAACGCATGAATGAGGGGAAGTTCAGGACCCCAGAACGGTCGGCACTGGGGGTCTGGACCAGGGTGGGCGTTCGTCCCTTTGTATCACAGGTGGTGGTACAGGCTGAGCATGGCTCATATCTGAATGGCCTTAGAGTCTGGCATTTGAAGGGGACCTCTGTGTCTGTTGGAGGTAAGCTAGGATTTCTCCAACTAGAAGCTACGGAGGTCTGGGCTGGGTTGTGCTTTGTGGGGGTGGAGCATCCTGTGTGCACAGCGTGGTGATCTCACAATCACGATCAGGATCACGATGGGGGGGGGGCAGAAGCCGCTCTCAGTGTCTGTTTGATGTGGTTGCAGATTTGGGTGAGAGAACTTGAGCTCAGCCTAAATCAGAGGCAGAGGTCCTTTCCAGACAAGCCTGGTGACAGGGCAAGGGTGGGGGTGGGGTGGGGAAGGGTGTCAGTGTGTCTTGCCATGTCTCAGTCCCAGATGAGGGGGATCACGGGCGTGGTGTGATTGATAAGCTCCTATCTGTTCCCAGATGTAATTACTTCTTGGAGCAAACAAACGATCGACAGCGGTGAGCGGGCAGATGGTGGGTGTCTACCTGCGCACACACGATGCGCAGTCATTCGGTCTTATCTGCAAACGCAGTCGCTCGGGCTGAAGTGGCTGCTTCATAACCCGGGGACGCGGGGCAGGCCCAGCCTGTCCGCAAGCCCGCTCACGGGAAGGTGGCAGCTGGCAGATCGTGGGGTGCTAGAGCCCCACCTTCCCTCCTCCCACTCTGCCAGGAAGGGGAGTGGACAGCCCCACTTCCCAACCAGCCCCGAGTTCTCCGGGGCTGAGATGGCGCCTGCGGCTGGACCCTGTCTGCCTGCCAGGACACGTCCCCCCGCACGGGAAGCTGCGGAGGCCGGGGGCTATGAGGTCTCCTGGAGCCTGGCGGGACCCCGGGGCGCAGCCCCAGTGCCCTGAACATCTACCCAAAGCAAGGAGAGGCGCCAGGAAGCTTCGAGCCAGAGGTGCCCAGCCCTGCCCGGAGCACGGCCTCCCCTGGGCCAAGGCCTCCCTGGGAAAGCAAACTTGGTTAAAGAACCCCTTTGTCCCAGGGCCAGGCTGACCTGCCTACATTCCTTCCTATGTTTCCATTCAAGCTGCCAGCACGGATTCCCTTCAAGTCCCTTTTCTAGAACATTCTCACACCGATTAAGAAATTGTCCTAAGCTGAAGGCAGCTGGACCCACTTCTGGGGGCTGTGGGGCAGGACACACTTCCACGTCCGGCCTCCCCGCAGGTCTCCCTGGCTGCCCGGGGCAGGGTGTGCGGGGCTGTGGCGGACGGAGGAGTCCAGGCCCCACGGCTCTGATCTGGAGCCCTGGAACCGACCCCGCTATGACCGCCAGTTTGCCAGCAGCTGTCCAGGAGTTGAGGTCCACCAACCATGCTCTGATCAACACCAGCTCCACGAGGCCCAAGCAGACTCAGACCTCCCAGCCCAGCTCCCCAAAGAACTTACCACCAAGTCCCCCTCCCCCGCCCCGCGCATCGTGCGCATGTTGGTGCCGCGGTCATTTCTGTGGCCGCCCTGTGTCTGCTTATTGGTGATGGGCATTCGGCTGTCCGGACACGGTGCCTTCTTTTAAACGCAGGCCTGTGGCCAAGTGCCACCCCTCTGCAGAAACCAGGGGCCAGTGCGGACCCCGCAGGGCGTCTCATTTGGTCCAGAAAGGACTTCTAAGTCAGGGAGCAGGAGGAACGGGGTGAGAGTTTAGGGGGTGCACAGGGCTTTGGGGAGCAGAGTGGGCAGAGACCAGCTGGGAGGGGGACAGCGCCCTCTTTGGGTCTGGAGACAGAAGGAGGTTTGGAAGGCTGGGGAGAAGAGCCAGGGAGTCAGTCCGCCTTCTAGAAGGTTCTGTTACTTACCCCTGTGGAGGTCACCCCATCCTCCTCTGCAAATCCTTTGGCTTATTCATGTGGCAGGTGCCAAGGTTGCGGTTCTGGGCCACCAAGGGTGAGTGGAGTTGGGCCCCGGAGGGGCTGGAGGGCAGACGCATGCGGAGGAAGCCGGGCATCCGAGCTATGTGTTTACCCCTCGGGCGAGTCCAGGGTGCAAGACCCAGGACATGACCCTGGGGACACGCCCCACAGGTCAGAGCCTGGCCATCCCTCTGTGGAGCGAGGCCTTGGCAGCCTGGCAAAGCCACCACATGGCGGGCTGTCCCCTGTCACTCAGCAAACAAGGGCGGCAGTGACAGGGACGGAGCTGCCCGTGACGCTTGACTCTGCCCCGCCTCCGGCTACCCTTTTCCTGTCATTATTATGATAATAATATATATATATATATATATATATATTTTGTGTGATTCTGGGACTTGAACTCAGGGCCCCGACTTGCTAGGCAGGCACTCTACTACTTCAGCCACAGCCCAGTCCTGTTTTGCTTTCATTGTTTTTCAGATAGGGTCTCATGCTTTTGCTCTTGGACCAACCTCGGGCTGATTCTCCTACCTATGTCATCTGCAAAACTGGGATCACAGACCTGTGCCACCACGCCTGGCTTTATTGATTGAGATGGTGACACCCCTCCCCTCCAGTCTTCACTGGTGATCCTCCAGATCTCTGCCTCCCAGGTAGCTGGGGTTTCAGGCATGGACTGCCACACGCGGCTCCTGCCGCCTTTTCTAAGGGCACTGGTCAGTACTGGAGTCAGACGGTCCAGGACGGCTTCACAAATCTGCGACAATCCTCAGAGTTTCCAGAGGTCAGGACTAGACACGTGGCTCCTGGGGTCCTCATTGAGCCCCTCCTCTCTCCCCAGCCCATCGCTATGTGTGGCAGCCTCTGTCACTGCCTCAAAGAAGGCGCAGAGGCAGGACAGGGCCCCTGCTGCGCACAGGTGCTCAAAAAAACATTCACTGAATGACCCAACTGGTTTTATCTCCTGTCCTAACTCCCACCTCTGCCCAGTGATCTCACCAGTGGACACAGATGTTAGCAGCAAACAGGTAGGGGCTCATGCAAGAAGCCGTACCCTCAAACCATTCCTACCACTTCCAGATCCGTCTCCAACGCCCCTTTGTGCAGTACGCCCTTGCTGCAAAGGACTCCTTCCCTGCTGGCCTGGGCGCGCTGTTTATTACCAAATAAAGTGCTGGCAGCTTGTGATTTCATCGGGGCCAGGTGCATCGCTGGGCAGTAACGAGCCGGCGAGGAGAGGCCAGCACTCCCAAGGAGAGAGTGAGGGAGTTGGCAGGCGTGACCTCATTCGTTGCTCAAGGTGCTGAGAACAGACCTTTCCAGAAAGGCTGGATGCTTCTGTCCCCGGCCCGCCCCGACGCGCCACCACCAGCCTACAGCCTGGGCTACAGAATTCTGATTTCCCAGCCTGCTGCCTTGTCCAATGAGCATCCCGGGGGGCTGCGGGAGACAGAGGGTCTCACATTTCCCAGTTGAAGGCAGAAGAAAGTAGAAGAAAGAAAGAACAAGCAAGAAACGCTGCAAGGAAAGAAATTCTTGAAGTCGGCTGGTGACGGCCATGAGGTATAAATCTAGACACGAGGCTGGGGAGGGAGAAAGCCGGGCTTTTGAATAACCCTGTTTATTCCAAATCAAAGAGGAGAGGAGAGAGAAGAGCGCTTGCTCTTTGAAAGCACACACACACACACACACACACACACACAGGACAGCAGGGAGGGCAGGCCAGCACACCGAGGAAAACCTCCGATGGCCGGAGGAAAGACCAGCGAGAAGCGGGGCCTGCAGACACCTAACTAACCTCCACGCTTCCTGCGCCAGTCTACCGTCCAGCCACCCAAAGACATAGCCTGACCTTCCCAAGAGAGCGTGAGAACCGACAGACACCAACCAATTTACAAAGGCTCCGCTTGACAAGTACCTGGGGAAGAAGGGGCCAGCTTTGCCAGTGGCCTGGAAACATCTAGAAAAAGAGTGTGCAAGCCAGTCAGGGAGAAAAGCTCTGTTCATTAGAAAGACGCTAGCAGGTCAGCGTGTGGGTAAATCACAATGCGGGAGGGGCTGGGAGGAGGGAGGGAGCAGGAAGCGCTGTGGGAAGGCAGTGCACTCAGCCCTGCCCTCTGCGCATCACCTCTAAAATAACAAGAAAGCCCATTTTTATTTATTTATTTATTTTTGGGTCCAGTCATGGGGCCTGACCTCTGGGTCCTGGGCACTGTCCCTCAGCTCTTCAGCTCAAGGCTAGCGCTCTACCACTTGAGCCACAGAGCCACTTCCCGCTTTTTTTTTCTTTTTGCTTATGTGGTGCTGAGGAATCGAACCCAGGGCCTCATGCATGCAAGGCAAGTGCTCTACCACTGAGCCACCTTCCCAGCCCCTGAAGCCAATTTTTAAAATCACAATGCACATCCTCACTTGGGGACATCTCCAGTTTTCCATCCAGCAGGTTGGCGTGACCCACCACAGCCCCCGGGGAGAGGTCCCCCCTGACACCCGCTCCCTGGTTCCAGCCCCTGGTGGGGGAGTTGTGGAGGCCAGGGCTGGGCCACGCATCAGCGCTGGGGAACAGGTCCTGGGCGCTGGGGAACAGGCCGGGGTCCCTGCCGCCAAGCACCCCGCATGGGCCTAAATTCACGGAATGCTCACTGGAGAGGCGCTGAGAAATAACCGAGGCCTGTTCTGGAGTATTCTTCGGTATGGAATTTCCAGAGGACTTTCTGCGGCGGGAGGGTGAGGCACCGGGTTCTTCAGAGTGAGCTCCCAGCACCACAGGGCCTGGGGCCCGGCTCCCAGCGCCCCTTCGCTCCGTCAGTCCGGGACCCCCTTTCCCCTCCACACGCCTGTCTCAGAGGTCTTTGCCTTCTGGCCTTGGGACCAGAGCCATTTTTCTGCTCTGAAGCTCCCGATCGCATACAGCAGCGGCCCTCTCCTGTATCCGCCGCCTGTCCCGTTTCTAAATGCTTCCCA